CTGCAGAACATTATGACCACCAGGGAGCCCAGTCGGAATGTTATGGCTGATCGGTGTTTATATATTATGAGTAGCATAAAGTAAACTATCTGAATGTCATCTACAACCCTGCGTTGTAAACAAGTGTGAACCTATCGTAACGTCACCCATTAGTTGGTGGAGTGTTTGTGGAGCACTCATTTGCTGTGCCATTTTGACTCATCCATAGCCGGAAACAATGGCGGCTCGCCTGGTCACACAAAAGCTTGTATTACAGCTAAACAGTACACTAAAATATGTTTTTGAAATTATTTTAAGCGAGAAAAAGGCAACGCAGTAAACGAATCTAGCTTCGTATTTGATCAGCACTGCATAGTTTGACAGTTTGATCTAAATTTTGTGCACTGAGCTGGACAGACTCACTGAGAGTGACCTGTCAATCACAAGGTAGCCATGCCCTACAGCATACCCTGCTTTAGGGTCTATTTTACCTATAATTTACTAAATGAACATCATGCTGTATGGAAGAAGACAAAAAACAAGCAATTGAGACTATAAACTCATTAGAAGTTCATAAATCAAGCCAGAAGTCGGCTCATTCTCCATTAGAGTGATATGGTATTTTAGTATTTTATTGCAGGCAATCGAGCGCCCTACTCAGCATCTGATTGATACCCTAAACGTAACCAATCTCACTCCTCATGCCTAACCCTTACCAACTAAACCAATTAAGGCAACAAGTAACCAATCAGAGCCAGAGTAAAGCATGTCATGATTTTGCCATCCTGGGGAAAAATAAACTGGCGTACAGGAAAGGAGAAAGGTGACCAAGGCAACTGTGATTGGAGCACAGAGTAAAAAGGAAAAAGAGACTTCAAATGCAAGAATGCATTAACTCAAAAATGAACTGTTGAAGTAATAACTCAATTGTTTTAGTGAACTTAAATGCAGCTTAGTATTGGTGATACAATACCTCCATTTTCTTTTTCCACATTTTTTTGTGCACTCAAGGAAACTGGTGTTGGTTTATTCATTTTATAATTTTATTTTTTGCAAATGAACCCTTATAATATTGTCACACATCCGAGTTTTTATTTTTTTACGAGGAGCATAAAGGGAACTATCTGAATATTATTATACAACCTTGCGCTGTAAATGACAATTAAATAACCTTGAATTCTTGAACATCTCATGTTATTGCTAATGTTCATGAAATGTTAGCTAATTAGCCAACTAATGGCTGATGTAAATTAGCTAGCTATCATCCGATGTAGATTAGCTAGTTAGCAAAAGGTTTGCTAAGATTAGCTAGTTTAAAATGTGGCTTTATATGTCGCTTTTATCTTCTAATCAACTTGAAAATGTCAGTCTTTTCAACGTTAGACGAGCGTAGCATATAGCATACCTACAGGAAGTAGTGCAGGAATAAAATATAAACATTTTTTTTTTCCCAGAATGGCAAAATCATGAGCCGCCCTACTCTGCCTCTGATTGGCTTAACCTGACATTGTTACCCTAACCAGTCTCAGTCCGCATGCCTAAACCTTACCAACCAAACCATTGAGAACAGAACAGATAATAGTAACCAATCAGAGCCAGACCAGGGCATGTCATGATATCGCCACCCTAGGAAAAAAAACCTGAATCCATGGATTATATCGGATTATACCAGTAGTAATTAAGAATTATACTGGATATTGTCTGATCTGATCCGCTTCATTTTCTACATTCATTTGTTTCCTACTGCCATTTCTACTCCTCACGCATACAGTACATCTATGAGTTTAGCTTCCAACAAAATGATTCAATATTAGATTAATAATAAAATTCTAAAATTCCATCATTTATTAGCCAGTGGGGCCAGTGGGAGAAGCACTACTGTACACATTCAGTGGACTGCATAACCAGGAAGTAAACCCCAAAACTAGAAAACTACTTCTAGCTTTTTTTCCAGCTTTTCTTTTTCTCATTTGATTGAATAGGCACCATTTTATTAGTTCTAAATATATATCTATGGTGCATTAAGTAAGCTAGTTACTACATGTCTTACATGTAACATTAAAGTCTGTGTAAAGGAAATTCTTAGATTTCCCTCTAAACACATTATACATTTCATAAAATAAAAGACTGTTTACAATGTAGTATTGAATTGTGTTCAGTATGGAATTGTTAGACAGTTTTTTGGGTTCAGGATGATTTGTATGGGGCTAAAACTATGGCTCGATGACTCACAGGAGTCATAACCACTCCCTAACACTGTAACGGTATATAAACCGGCTGTGCATTAGCATTGGTGGTTCTCCTGCTCGTTTTCAACTGTTTCTTTACTAGCCTATTACAAGAGTTTTGTTATTAGCCACAGCCTTTGCTAACTAGCTAAAGCCTTTAAAATCCCGCAAATGCATCTTCCCTGAAAGCAGCTTGGTCACTTTCTATCCAAAGGATGATGCTATGAGGAAGAATATTTCCTTTGTAATCTGGTCTTGGTAGAGCAGCCATGTTGTCACGAGTCTATGTAGCACATGACCTTGGCAAATGCGTGATGTGCAGTGTCCTACTCTCCAGCTCCTATTTTTTATGTTTCAGTATTTGTCCCGAGAGCAGCTTTGTCACCATAACAACAGCAGAGAACTACTCTAGGACCGCATGCTACAAGATTATAGCCTGTGCGTGTGTGAGTGTGCTAAAACTAAACATTAAAAATGACTCCATAAAGACACACTCACAAACACCCACACACATCCTCTGGCACACTCACTAGTTCACTCCCACACTGACCCGCTTGGTAAAACAAAGCCTTGTACCTCCCAGCGTTGATGAGCCCCATGTCTTGTCCAGAGCAGATATCCTCCAGAATAAAAGCCTCATCACAGGTGGACATGTTAATGTGGGTCAAGTTGGGTTTGCACACGTCCAACCAGTAGGGGGTGTGTTGACCGGTGGACAGCTGGAGAATATCCGTTATCAGAGCAGTCACACACAGGCCAAAGATATGGACACCTGTGGAAAACAACACATTTTACAACAGCAGACAATGGATTAGTAGAACATGTCACCTTCTTGTCTTGCTTTTGTTTTTATTCTGTACCCACCAATATTTTGACAGTACATTTTTTACAGTTATTTTACTATTACACTTGTTGTCACTTGCGTGTTTCAGTCACTGAAAAATGCATGTACTGTAAAACTCCAATAGTCCAGGGTTTTATTTGCTTTGATCACTGAACTCAACCTGCCATTTGGAACAGGCTTTTAATTCCTTTTGCACAAAACTCTTGCTCAACAAATATGGCAAATGCGATCAAATTGTTTATTTAAACCAGTATAAAAAATACATGTATAAAAATTAGGCTACTGAATAACACATCAATTGCCAATCCTTCATTTGCTGCTCATGGTTTCTGTAAAATGAACTGGACAATTGATGGAGAATTTAACTGCTCTAATGATGTTGAGCAGTCTATAGCAGTTTGTATTTGTGTAGGCGATCTAAGCAAACAACATTCAACCTTTATTAATACATCCAAAGCATTTCTATAAATCTAGACTAGGCGTCTAATTGAGACCTGTGTTTATCAAAATGTATAGCCACACCAGGCTAGTAAGAGAGACCTGTGTCCATTTGGCACCCTGCTTTTAATTAAGGTTTTACAGTAATCACTTGTGGGTATGATGCATGTGTCCTCCCACCTATGAAGCGCACAGCCCTGCGAATGTAGGAGTTGAAATTACAGCCTGCAGCGTTGATGTTGGCCTCAGTCTGCGTGGCTGATGACCTCCTGGACAGATAGCAGTACAGAATGGCCTCTCCTATCAGAATCTAGACAGGAATGCAAAGAAAAGACTGTTGGCAACGCAGATTTCTTTATTTACAAAGATAAATTATAACAAAAAATAAAAATAAAAATAAAAAACTAGATGAGGAAGATACATTACATTTTTCAACTTACTGCTAGAAGGACTTCTCAAAATGTGAAAAATCGTGGCAAAATTAAGTTCAAATGCAAAGAAGTTAAGATGTGCTGAATGCGAAGAGGGTCTAAGGCTTGCTGAATCTGTGACATCTTATCAAATAAATACTGATTTTCCTGCAAGACTACAATCAGGCAAAAGAAACCTACAGTGCGGCGGCTGTAGCACCTAAAACATTTTAAGTTACCTTCTTGTTAGAGAGGACCTCCTACAGGGGCCATCCAGCAAAGTCAAGCAGCACTACTTGTTCACAGTGGAACTAAAGCTTCTTCCATTTAAAGGGCCAATATCTGTTACCAGACAGGAAATCATGGTCCTGGTTCTCAAACTACGGTACACGTACTACTGCTGGTACACAAGCTCCCCCTAGAGTTACGTGTAGGAATCTCATTTATTTAAAAACAACACTGTCAAAATACATTTTAGAAAAAAAAAAATTAGAATGAAAATACTTAAAGGACCAATGTGTAAAATTTTGTGTCATCTAGTAGATTACAATCCTCTCGCCTCACCCTCCTGTTCCAAGTGTGTAGGAGAAACTAGTGGCTAAGAAACTAGGGAAAAAAGCGAAAGGCTCAATCTAGAGCCAGTGTTTGAAAAGCGAAAGGCTCAATCTAGAGCCAGTGTTTGGTTTGTCCTTTCTGGGCTACTGTAGAAACATGGCAGTTCAACATGGAGGACTCTGCCAGAAGAGGACCCGCTCACTCTGTAGATAAAAACAGCTAATTCTAAAGTAACGAAAACACTACAATATCTATAATCAGGTGATTATACACTAATGATAATGAATACATACTATGAATATTATATTACATTTCTGACAATAGTGCCTCCTACATTGTACATACTGGACCTTTAAACTATAATATGTAATTTCAAATCCTGTAATATTTTGTTGTTGTTTTTTAACCAGTTACGTGGTCACGTTCATGCATGTAGCGCACACATACATGTAGCATACATGTCTGTGGCTGAAAACAGTCGAAGATAAATAATCTTATTAGGAATAAATCTTCCTCCAACGCAGGCTTGGATAGGATTACATGTAAGTGAGTTGCGTAATCAGGATACAAAAAAGCTAACTGTAATCCATTTCACTAAAAATGGGGATTATACAACAGCATCTATCGGTGTTTCTATCAAAATACACAGAGCAGAGGACCCCTTTTTTATGATAAAAACCTTGGTTTTCATGTTATTTCCTAAGGTTGCCTAATATTTTAGGAGGTGGTACGTAGTGTAAAAAGATTGTGAAGCACTGATGTAAAGATTGGAAATAATAGTGGACTATAAAACACGTTGAACTGGTTTATTGGCTACTAGATTGTTTGTAGACATATCATGAGAGTTGCCAGCCCCCCAATTGTGTTTTGATGTCTTATGATTTAAATGTATTTATTTATTTTGATATGATTCTGCATTTTTAAGGGAACAGATTGATAGAATTTAGAATTAGAATTTTGTGAGGTATAGAAGCACATGTGAGGTTGCAACATTCTGGAAACATTGTGAGAAGACACTTACAGGACAAAGACAGGAGAAAACCAAGTTATTTGGCATTTCAACAGTGAACCATTACTGTTCAAGAGTCATGGCTTCCAAATCATGGCCTACAAAAAGCGCTGTTCAGTGTTGCGCCTCCAGCAGACATCTGGGTGAGTAGTGAGGACCAAATCCTGGCAAAGACCACAGTCTCTCTTACTTTTCTTAATCCATATGGTTTAGCTGGTAGGCCAATGCTTATTAATGCTGGTTCTTGCTTGAATCACTCAGACAGTAGATAATGTAGCAGATTATGTTCAACATATACAGCAAACCAAATGATCTTTTTTTGTTCTTGCAGGACGCCACACTGAACCTGTTATCTCTGCAGTGGAAGACTGCAGATCAGATGGAAGGAAGGCAAGCTTCAAGAGAAACTCCGAAGAAAGACTTGAAAGAGAAAACAAGAGGAGCAGAAAAGGCCACGCAGTCAGTGGACTTACATCAAGTAAAGGTTAGATGAGATAGAAATCATAGAAATATTTATATATATATTATGTCTGTTTTCTGTCAAATAAATGCTAAACTAAAAGGAGAGATTCAGTCAAACCTCCGTATGAGTGTATTTTGTTAAGCTGAGCCCACTAACCAAAGGCTGAGGTCTAAGTGGTCCATATATTTATGTGTCTGATTGGTCTGAATACCAGTGTGCACAGTTCGGTATTAACTCCTCGTATCTCAACTCTGAATCCAGTAAAGCAAACATGCTAATTTTTCTTGACTTTTTTCTAATTTTGTAGATTGTAGAGAAAACCCGAGTCTCTCTGGACGTGGCAATGTGGCTGCAGCGGGTACTTCGGAGAAAAAGACCAGCAGCGAGAGGATGTCAACCGCCAATGAGAGCGAGCAACGTCCAAGGAAGAGAAGCAGCGGGAGTTCTGCTGAGGACCACACTCAGACCATCAGCAGCTCTTCCCTCACTGAGGAGGCCCTCACAACCACACCAATCGACGTCAGCAGTGAAGCTGAAGTGAGGAAGAGGAAGTCTGAGGAGACAGAAGGACCCAACAAGAGGAGCAGAGGAACCCCTAGCCCGGGTGAAGGCCCCAGCCACCAGGCCACCAATAAGGTCCCCTCCTCCACATGCAACCATGGTACCTCATCGTCAGCAAACACTGTCCCGCCTGACAGCAGAGGTTAGATGTGATAGATATACTTACTTTTGTTACCTTTGGACACATTCAGGCAAGCTGTTTACAGTCTTTGTGCTAAGATAAGCTAATCGGCAGCTGGTCTAAATGTCAAAAAGGTCAAGTTATTCTTAAGGTTAAAGGGGAACTTGGCAACTTTTTCAGCTTAATAAACCCGTTTAGAAATCATTTGGATGGTTAAATTGCCTGTTGGCGACCCCATGCGACCCCAGGCGGGAAAAAGCACAACCTTGCAACTTGTGGGACTACCGTCCCGTAAATTGGAAGTGGAAGTACCGCCGAGAAGCGAGAACCGAGCCCCGGAGAAAGTACGAACGGCTTTACCGGCCAATTCCACATAAACGCACACGGCCGCCCTCAATAAACGTTAGTGATAATGTATTATCCACGCTCTTGGTAGAATTTGCTCCACACGAAACCCTAACCCTGCGAAAAAAAAGGCACATCAGGCAGCCGGTAGAAAGGGGGGAGGCAGGGTACCGCAAGTGGATTTTGTTTTACGACGTGTTGCTAAAAATACACGGTCAGCAGCTGTAGGGGGAGCTCGTTGGAGAAAACATTGCGATGGACAAAAATGAAAACCAGCGAAAGAAATGGGCTAGAGTTGCCAAGTTCCCCTGTTAAGAGTAGTTCAGCCTTGGGCTTTAATTTAGGCATTCAATTTTTTAAATCATTAGGGGTTATTATTGGTATATTTATGTGTTGTGATCAATGGAAGTTGTAAACAAGGTCTTAATCAAAAACTGTTTTTGTTTGTATATGTTTTCTGCAGCCTGCCTTTGAGCCAGCGTACCACAGAGGCGTAATGCCTGGCGAAGGGAGGGCTTCGGGTAGTCTATGCTGGCTACCGCAAAGGACGGACAATCTGCCAGTACAGACTCATTAAACACACACAATGATTGCTTATATCCTCTCTGGTGGCATAGCATAAGCTACAGCCAAATGTCTGGTGCTTTCTGTACTGGTAGCGTGCGCACTAAAATATATCCACAGATATACCGTTTGGCCGCACATCAATGGTAAGTGTTTTTGTTCTTTGTCCTGGAAGCTTAATTTAACTGAAGTTTGTTAATTTACAAAATTTTGTTTAACTCAAAAAATTTGGGATGTAAACCAGTTTCAACTCATC